ATTGTTTTCAGGCTGTAGGTATCGTATAAATATTTGTTGAGAGACTAAATAGAACGTCTTGATCTTTTGGAAAGTAAGTATGCAGATGATGTCTGTATTTTCCTATAATGGAAGGATTGTTCTGATATTTATAGAGCTCACAATGACATGACAGAATGAATAGGGAGTTTCTCCAGAGAAAGCAACTTGTGACTTGTCACTTAAAAGATGTGTAGGAATTTGATGAGTAGGTATGATAATAGGAGATAATATGCAGAAAGTACAGCTTCAGAAAAGTAGAGTATCCATATTTGAAAATGAAATACTGACCAGCTTGACTAGACATAGTCCCCGTATAAATGAATTAAACTTGGAACAGTGGTGCATGCACCCTGACATGTTTAATCTTTAGGGTCAGCTGGTGGTTTTTTAGCATAAACATGTTAAATTTGAAGTATTCACAAAAAAATAATTTAGTTGTATTGCGTAGAGTGTAGTGTTAAAATTGGAATTTGAAATGGAAAAGCTAGCCTGAGTATAATGTAGTTTTACATATGAAAAATAATAAAATAATAGACTGTATGGTTAAGTAGAGTTACTATATTTGTGGCTGACCTCATTTCTCCAAAATACTTTATAATGTTCACAAGAATTTTTCAGAAGTCTCAAATGTAAAGTAATACTGTTGTCCTAAAATAACAGCATTTGAAGGTACATTACTTCCTTGGAAATGGGCCACTGTGAAATGTGAAAATACCGGAAGGTGACCAGCTCTCCTTCACCCAGTAGTGATCATTTGTCAATAGCGCTTCAGCTAAAATTGGGACTTCTTAAGTGGTTTCCCAACTTCTGTGCTGGGTTTTCATCTAGTTTGAGTTTGCATGGGTCTTGTGTGTGCTGTCACCCTTCCTGTAAATTCACATGAACAAGTTCTCAGGCACCTGGAAAACTGTTTCCCTGTGGTCATCCACCACTTCTGGCTCTTACAGTTTTTCTGCATCTCTCCACAATGGTTCCTGAAGCCTTAATGGCAGAGGTTCAATACAGGGGTCCTATCCAGGGACACATACTCTGCAATCACTTTTTCTCTACACTTTGGCCAATTATGGCTTTCTGTGTTAATTACCCTCTGTTGCACGAGAAAGCTTCACCAAAAGATTCATGCATTAATATTCTCTATACCCCATGTTCCATTATGTTCTGTGAGTCTTAGGTATAGAGTGATGCTAGATAGGCTGACCAGTCTCCAGTGGAGAAACTCATACAAAGGGATATCTGGGGCCACAAGTTTGGCTTGATAGGCCCTAACAAATATGACAGAATGCATGAAATCTGCTGGGGGTTATGGGGTGGGTGCAGATAGCGAAGAGTACCTAAATATGATTTAGATGTATTGTACAAAATGCACAAAAGTTCAATAAAATATATATTGTAAATTAAAAATATTGGAAGGCATTTGTAAATCTGAAATTCTGCTACCTTTCTTTCATTTTTTAACAAATACTGAGGGCATATTCAAAATTTAAAACAAAAGTCATTAAATTACACTAGATTACATTAATTCCTATATTACATGATATCAAAAATATCTTATCGTAAGATGATGACACCCTATCAAACACTCATAGACTATTTCATGTAGGCATAACAGTGCTTTATTTAAATATAATGTTATTGATGCACTTTGTGAAAAATATTGAGACTGAGGGTAGTTATTACAAAATTTTTTAAATTAGTTTTTCATGAACTGTTTCAGAGGTTAAAAACAATCCAGTTATGGTGGAATAAATTTATTATTTAGGTACTTGGGAGAATGAGCCAGGAGGATCTTGAGTTTAAGGACACCCTGGGATACATAGTAAGACAAAGGAAGAGGGAAGGATTGATTAATTACCTTGGGAAAACTAAAATGGATTTTTTTTCATCTTCATTTTCAGTAGCAAAGCTTATTGAAGGTAGAGAAGCAAATAATGTATTGAACTGTCTACATATAAACAATGGCTTCTCTTCATATCTTAAAAGTACATTTCAGATTCCTGGACAAACATTTCTAAGTCAAACTTATTCTCAAATAATAATGAATCATAATTCCATATCTATAAAAATATCTCCATTTCAAGATGCTGTAACATATAATTAGTAATTTAGAAATGAAGGGGCCTGATGTTTGCTTTTATTTCAACTCCCTGTGTTTGTATGAAGTTTGTTCTAAACAACAGCTGCTCTGAAATACAGCCAATATTTTGTCCACTGGGTAGAGAGATGATCCTACTCAGAAGAGTGATATCAGTAAAATGTGTGTATATGTGTGTATGTGTTTACCTTCTCTTTCTAACATTCTTGGATACACACTTCCTTAGGCCTATTGATGCTCCTCAAAATTTGAAGTGCACAAATATCACCAAAAATAGTTCATGAAACTATATGTCGTTGTCCCTACAAACAGTACAGGTTCAGTGTCCACAAGTATGGGGAAGCCAGAATTATGGATTTTTTTGTTTGGTTGGTTTGGTTTAGTTGTGGAGGGGAGGTGTGTGTAAGAGTAGGTCAGAAGAGATCTTTCAGGAGTCAGTTCGTTTCTTTCACCCTTTCACTATGTGGGTCCCAGGAATGAAACTCAGGTTGTCAGGCATGGTGGTAAAACTCCCTTACCCCATGAGCCCTCTCCCCAACTCTGTATTATGAGAAGCCTTACTAGGTGGTTTCGTGTCTTGGATTCTGTATCATATTTCAAATGACTGTAACTTGAGTGTTTTCCATCTATCTCTGCTTGGTTAGCTTTTTGTTGGTATGACAAGTACCTGAGGTAATCTAAAAGAAGAAACAATTTATTCTGACAGTTTTAGTGCTTTCAGTCCAAGATCAGCTGATCCATTGCTAGGGGCCTAAGGGGAGATGGAATGCCATATCAGTGAAAGCATCTGGTAGAATATGTTCACTTCACGGAAGCCAAGAAGCATAGGAGCAGTAAGGGGCCTGAGGACAAAGTATCTTTCCATGGCAAATAACCTAGTTCTCTGCTTCCTTCAACTAGTCCTCATCTCTCAACAATTATATATTTTGAATCCATCAAAAGATTAATTCATTGATTTGATCAGAGACCTTGTGATGTGATCATCTCTCAATGATTGAATCCATCATCTGAGAACAAATTCCTAAACCTATGAGACTCTTGGCAGACCCTTCATGTCCAAATCATTATGCTTGTGTTGGATGTTATGGTCCTGATTTTAAATATCTTCTATTAATTATTTAATTTACCTAACAAGTCTATTCAAGCAATGCAGATGTCTAGGAAATCCCTACTGAGAAAATCTGAGGAAAGCAGTGTGCCCTACTAGAATTTGATCAGAAGTAGCATTATTCCACATTGAGAGCTCTATTTTATGCTATCAATCTTAAGATGTATTGCAGCTAATTAAATGATCTCATTTATAGTATGTGCTGAGATAGTTCCAAAGAAATATTGCTTCCAACGGTAATACCTTTTATGCATTTAATTACACTGGAGTTCCAATCCAATTCAAAGCCATGTCTGCAAAGGTTGGCATTTAGTCAGCTAAGCATTTGAATGTTTCATTGTTCCTAAGTAGGAAAGCAGAAGACTAATTTTTCTAACTAGTAATTGCAGGTGCAGGTTTTGCTTGCAGTCTTCAAAAAGAAAGTGTCTCAGGGAAGAAAAAATTAAATGAGACAGTTAAAGGCATGACCTAGAAAGAATATTTGACTATACTGTGTTTTTTTATCCTGCTTTAAAATCTTTCTTATGTGCTGAGGCCCAATTATGGGATGTGTTCTTAAATGTAACTCAGGAGTTGAAAGGAACAAAATGTAAAGAAATTGTCCAAACATAAGGTCACTAGGCCATCTTAAGTATTTTTTAAAGGAAACAGGCAAGGAAACACGTGAGGATCTATGCTGAGAAGGGGTAAATAAAACAGCTAGCTGGGATGGACAGAAGGCTCAAGCGGGTAAGAGCAGTGACTGCTCTTGCAGAGGACCTGTATACAATTCCCATCACCCACATGGTGACTAACAACGGTCTGTAACTCCTGTTCCAGGGGATCTGACACCTTCTTCTGACCTTTGTGGGCATTGCACAGCACAGCTGCACCTACCTACATGCAGGCAATGCACTCATACACATGAAATAAAATATTTTAAAAAAATAAATAAAAGAACTTGCCAACCAGCGAAGAAATAATTGCATGCTTTAGACTTCCAGTAGAGAGAACCAGAATCCACCTGTAAGTTTTTACTTCCATTTGGAAAGAACTTGCTTAACTGAAATTCATTTTTAGTTTTGGTATAGCTGTTTTTGTCAGAGACTATCTCCAAGCATAAAGTTTGGCAGTGTGAACAAGTGACTCTGAGGAGTTTGAGCACTGATGAGCCAGGTACTTTGAAGCCCTCGTCCCTCCAGTGTGCACTTTGGGTACTCTTGTCTCCACATGACAATTACCCATCAGGACTAGATGATGGCAAGGATAGTTTCACATACCCATCTTATTTGGATGATTTATGATTTTATAAAATGTAATATCAATCTTGTGAAACTTCTCACTCAAAATTGTGAACTTCTGATCCCTTCATCTTTCATTTGGCAGCAGCTAGAAACTCTTTTGATGTCTTTTGTTTCCTTTCTCCAGATTCCTCAAATTCTATCTTGCTTTGCTGCCTATAACCAACCCTGAGAAAGTCACATTATTATTGGCATTAGCAGTTCATCAGATGATTCTTTGGAGAAATAAAGATACAATATCTGATGTGAACATAACAGAAACTGGAATGCTTTACGTGAAAGCACTTGATAGAAAATGTTTCATTTTGTAGATTAAATGCTCTGTCAGAGCCTTTCATGAAGTACCCCAGTCTTATTAAAAAAAAGAACCATACCTAATATTTAAGGAAATACGTGTGTTTTAGTCCAATAAAACTTCATTTATAGAATCTTGTCATCTCATATCATTTTCACACCACAAATATTCCTTTGAGTTTCTTTCTCTTTTTTTTCTTTTTTCATCTGCTCCCCTGAGAGACAACTGCCACTGGTACATTATGAGGGCAATGGTGTAATCAAGGGTTTTCTGTAAGTGCCAGCTACCAAATCCTGGCCCCACTGACTGAGGAAGAACCTATGAAAGCGCTGTGAGTTTCTTCTTAAAATTATTTATTAACTTTGCAGTGTTTCATACAATGCAGTTTGATCATATTTCCCCTGCTTCAACACTTCCCATAACTAACCCACCACTCTATCTATCCATTTTAAATGTCCTTTTTCCCCCAGTGAGTCCAATTTGTGTTGTGGGGCCAGCCCTGGAGCTTGGTGAAACTACCACGGGTCACTCTAAAGGAAAACTGGATCTTCCTCTCCCAGAACCTATCAAATATCAACAACTCCTGAAATAATGATGGGACTTCATGCCCAACTCCCCACTCTGTGGTAGGACCTTGTCTGGCTTGAGCTTGACCTGCCCATGTGCATGTTATTACAACCACTGTGAGTTCATATGTGCACCTGTCCTTCCGTCTGGAAAAATATTGTTTCCTGTTAGTCACCTACCACCTCTGGCACTTACGATCTTTCTGCTCCCTATTCCAACAGGACCCTTAGTCTTGTGGGGAACAGTGTGATGTACATGTTTTATTTAGGACTGAGCACTCTGCAGTCTTTTTTTCTCTGTGTGTGGAGTTATTGTGGGCTCTGTAATAACTGCTCTTTACTGCAAGAAGAAACTTTTCTGATGGACTCAGTACACTGTGTGTGTGTGTGTATGTGTGTGTGTGTGTGTGTGTGTGTGTG